ATTACGACATAAGTTTTCTATGTCCTGGTCTATACCAGGCCAATAGATGTAATTTCGAGCTAGATTTTTCATTTTATTCATTCCTAAATGACCCTCATGAATTTCCAATAAAACTCGTTCCCTTAGTGAGGGAGGGATTACGACGCGATATTTATAAATCAAGCAGCCTAGATCAAGCAACATTTCTTGCTTTCTATCAAAGTACGGCTTCTCGTCGTCGCATTTGGTCGAGAAGGGCCAACCGAACATTACATAGCCTGTAATTCGGCTCAATACCGTATCCTTTTTTGTTTCTATACTAATATCCTTGAAGTTTACCGGGATAGTATCTTCCAGTAAATTAATGTAAGACGTGACCGCGGACTGGTGACGTTCGGTTGGCAGAGGAAGGCGGGACAGCGCGTCGGCCGGGCCGTTAGCAGCCGAGCGAACAAACTCCACTGAAAAATCATAGGCGGCCAATCGGGCAGCCCACCGCTGTAAGCGACTGGCTGCCGTTTGTGGTATCCCGCCTCTTTTCCCAAAAATGTAACTTAACGGCTGATGATCCGTTCGTAAAACAAAGCGTCGACCGAATACATATTGGTGGTGTTTCGTTATTCCAAAAAATATGGCCAGAGCCTCTTTATCTAATTGACTATAATTTTTTTCTGAAGCATTAAGCGTACGCGATACACAGCTGACCGGTCGCTCGGTGCCGTCGGGGTATACGTGTGCTAGGACTGCGCCCAGCCCATACGCACTGCTGTCCACCGACAGAACCAGTGGCCGCCCTTGCTCATAGTGAGCCAAAATCTTTTCGCCTAACAAAGCTCTTTTAGCTTCTCGGAAGGCCTGCTCGCATTTTGAAGTCCATTTCCAATTAACTCCTTTGTTTAATAACAAATGTAAGGGATGTAAAATGGTACTGAGATTAGGAATAAACTTGCCATAGTAATTAAGGAGACCAAGAAAACTTTTTAATTGGGTCACATTCAGTGGTCTCGGAGCATTAGAAATGGCTTCCATCTTTTTCGGATCGGGGTGCAATCCCTGCTTGTCAATAATAAAACCTAGGTACTTTACACTTTTTTGTAAGAACTTACATTTTTCGGATTTAACGGTAAAGCCCATAGTTCGCAACCGTTCAAGTACAGCTCGTAAATTACTCAGATGTTTATTTCGCGTAGCTCCCGTGACACAAACGTCGTCCAAAAAAACTACCGTACCGGGTATACCGCTGAGTGTCTCTTCCATAATTTTCTGGAATTTTTCTGGAACACACAACAACCCAAATGGGGTTCGACGATATACGAATGTGCCTAGATGGGTAGTAATTGCAGTGTAACGCCGAGAATCCTCAGTTAGCAGTAATTGTTGATAGGAATTTTTTAGATCAATTTTCGAAAATTCTTCACCACCACTTAATTTGGCAAAAAGTTCTTCAATTCGCGGTAACGGATAAAACTCCCGCTTGAGCTTTGGATTTATCGTAATTTTATAATCTCCACAAATTCGTATATCGCCGTTTTCTTTTATAACCGGTACTATAGGAGTACCATACTCGGAGTGGTCCACCTTAAAAATGGTACCCTCGGCCTCAAGCCTCCTCAGCTCCTGTTCGACCCGGGATCGAAGCGCCAATGGCACGGGCCGCGCGCGCACGTACACAGGTTGTTCGTCACTGAGCTGTAGTTGAACGCTTTCGGTACAAGTGCCTAACTTATCTGTAAACACTTCGGGGAATTCGCTAATGAGTCGGCTCACGAATGAATCATCTAGAATTTCATTAACACTAATATTAATTTGATTTATTTCAAGAGCTCGAATCCATTGTCTACCTATTAAAGGGCATCCTCCGTTACGAATTACATATAAAGAACAATTTTTTTTTTCTGACCTCTCCCAATGCTACATTGACCGATATAAAACCCAAAGATTCGATTCGCGAACCGACATAACTATGTAATCTTACATTATCTTTGATAAGGGATTTATACGGAAAATGACACAAATAAAACCGTTCACTTATTGTGGAAATGCGACTACCGGTATCGACTTCGAAAACTATTCGGCTGTCCATCTACTTTCAAAGTTAATTTATAAGACTCGTTACCTTTAGCTTTCAGCTGGATATTAAAAAAATCCTCTCCTTCAGAACTCACGTCACTCACATAATGCTGGGGGCCGCTCGACTGCCTCCCGTCGCGCACTTCTTTGCACATCACCTTAAGATGTCCGCGCCTACCACACTTATCACAATTGTATTGCGCAAATCGGCACTTATCCGCCCTATGTGGCTTTCCACAACGCCAACATGGCCCCGAGCTTCGCTGACTCCGTCGCGTCTCCATGGTGCCTCCTCTAGAGACCGAGCGTAGGTCTCGCCGCCCCCGGCGCTCCCCGGCCTGATGTAAACCTTCGCCTCTTTCTAGACTGCTGCTCCGAACACCTGAGGTCGATGCTGGTGCCGTGGCACCACTCACCTCCGCGTGTCTCTCCGCAGCCTCCAGCGCAAAAGCCAACTCCACCGCCTCCTTGTACCGAATGTTTCTTTCGGCAAAAATACGGGACCGCATCGCCTCGCTCGCAAGACCTGATACAAATTGGTCCCGCAAATTCTCTTCAAGTGTCACTCCAAAATTGCAGGTCGAAGCCAAATGTTTCAGATTTTGCAAATATTCGGCAAGTGATTCACCTCCGAGTTGCCTGCGCAAGCGGAACACGTGGCGCTCTGCAATCTCGGAACGCTGTGGTTCTAAGTGACTCGACACTAAACTCACCAATTCTTCGAAAGTTTTGTCTTCCGGGTGTGCAGGAGAACATAGATCGCACATCAACGAATATGTCGCCTCGCCGACCACGGTTATTAACATAGGAACTCGTAATTCAGACTCGATTTCGTTTAGCAATATAAATTGTTGAACTCGACGAATATACGCGGGCCACTGTTTACTGGCTAAATCGAACGGCTCTAATTTACCAATAGGCATAATTACGACCACTTTATAACGTTTTGGATAATACGAAACAACGCGTGGTTACGGACTCGTCGCCAATGTAACGTCAATAAAAGGCAGAGTTGAACAGCGAACTGGAAGCTTTATTGATACCAACTACCTACATACCCAATAACAAAAATAACTATAATATACCCTACAGTTAGTTGAAATAAATAAATAAATGATTGAGAATAATCCTTAGGAAGGAGGTGATCGCTTCCAAATTGTTTCTTGAATATCCGAACTTGTGGTAAAAGTAAAGAAAAAATACTTAATGAGAATTACTTGTCATCTATATTGAATAAAAAATACGAGTATTCTATTCTTACTTTTCATATGTTTCATTAGCCTCGCATTTAACACCAATGTCAGTATTAAATAACCAACGAAATATCGCTTAAAGAGCTTCTTCAGTTCAAAGTAGACAACTTACACTATTTTCTACAACAATCCCTTCTGTGCAGCCATTGTTAATACCTTGCATATTATAAACACCAACCACCACATCCAATACAAATAATAATTACCAGAAACAGTGTGAGACTTTCATGATGATGATTCTATGGCGTATCCTAATTACATTCCTACAGATGTTGAAAGTCAGCCTTCCCCAATGTCACCAATTACATCATTATCTTATATTCAACCCTCTCCACTAAACACAATAGACAACTAACAACAATCTTTTAAAATAGAAGTGACAGAACCAGTAAGCTCCATTAGTCTAAGTCATTACAAAGAGGCTGATTCTATAAGTTATCTTAACAACATTTGATCCGGGAAAAGAATATAGATTTTCACAAGCAGAGAAAAGACCACTGCTGGTGTGATAAGTTTGAGCATTTACCTGAAGAAGAACAGAAAGAGAATCAGAGAGAGTATAACAAACATATTGAGGTGATGGCTCATTTAAAACTTAAAGACTTTAAGACAATGCGAGATATCTCCATTGGAAACAATAAAACCCACGGATGGAACTATAATAATAGGAGGTGACCGACATGTGGGGTGGTCTGCCGGCCGAAATTATTCCTGTGGTCGTTTCTGCGAACGGGTTAATCCCAGTCAGCCTCTCGGGTGATCTGAGGCGACTGGGACTCCGTGACGGATCACTCCAAGCTCAAATGCAGAAGGCGGTGCTCCTCGATACCGCCCGCATCGTCCGCCGGTTTCTTTCCCTTTCCCACTAACCCTCGGCCGTTTGGTCTCCCCTGCCGAGGGCTTCCATCTGGTTGGGTTTTTATATATTTATGTAATTTTTATGTATTTATTTTATTTTATTGATATTTATGTAAGTTTATCATTTTCAATTATATATTTATACAGCCCAACCAGATGAGAAAACTATACAAATACCCCATACAAATAATAATAATATTTTTTTACGTCCATAAATTTCGAGCATTTTCATGCGAATTTTGGCGTACCTTCTTTTACCGTTTCACCGTTATGCCAAATAGTCGTAAGGACCAAAAACTAGTGTTATAGAGGAAATACCTTAAAAACAATCACCCATAGTAACTGAAGTGTAAATATATGGCCATATACAAAAACACAACGAGCTGGCTCAATCACAAGAAAAGTTATAAAGTTTTTTGTCTCCTGGAAAGTAACGGTTTCGTCGCTACGCCCTCATGGTTTGAGATCCGCGAAGTGTGTAACACACTATTGTGTAAATTAACTGGCTAAAAATAAGAATCTGCAAAATGTTCATGATTGGGGCATAGTGCTACTAACTAAAATTGTCCAGCACTCAAACTCACTCCCATATCTCTGTGTTTTTACTCGGACACTGTATTTTCCTATCGGCTTCACAACTTCACTAACTCTAAGTATTAGGCTCTAAGTTCACTAATAACTGAGATCTGGCATTTTGATAGAAGGATGAGTCAATCTGTTATCATCTGTTAGCATTTTGGGCAATTGGGTTTTCTCACTGATTGCCCAAGATGCTTCTCTTTCCATGCACTATTTATCTAATTCCAGCTAAGACTAAAAATTAAAAAAATATGTTTGCAGGTTAGCATTTGGAGGAAGCATACCTCATTATTTCTACGAGTTTTTAGAAAGACTGTTTCCTGAAGGGGTCGTGGCATTTCCACTGGCTAAGAAATTAATATTCGAAAGAATAATCTTTGCACCAATCATGCAAGCATTTTCTTTGTATACATTATCGAGGTTTGAGGGAAAGAATCATAAAGCTGCACTAAAACAGCTTTTTGCGCTGTATTTTAAAGTATTAGAAGCTAATTGGAAGTGGCTTACTCTATTTCAAATTATCAATCTAGCGTTCATACCGCCTATGGTAAGTTATATCGTATTAATTTTAGTTGTAACAATTTGTTATATTTTCTGCCGACTTCCAAAAAGCAGACGGTACTCAATTCGACTGTATTTTTTTATGTGTGTTACCTCATAACTTTTTACTGGGTGAACCGATTTCGATGATTCTTTTTTTATTTGAAAGCTGGTACTTCTCGTGTGGTCCCATATGAATTTGATCAAGTTCAGACCAATAGTTTTTGAGTTATTCTTTAAATAACATATTGAAGTCGGCTGTACAAAATTTTTAATTTTAAATTATTCCGTAATTACTTATTAACATACTGAAAAATAATGGATTTTTCCTTGTATAGTATGAGTACAGTACAGAATGACTTAATAATTGTATAAGTCACTCTGTGTCGCGTTTTCCCTGTACGTACCTATTATTAAAAAATACATGTGAAAATATTTTTCCTGAAGAAGGTAATGTGACAACTTTATTGTCAAATATCATGCAGGTAATGCTTGTTCCTGCTGATTGAGGCATGAGGCTCTGGAACACGAGCAGACAGTCCACATGATTTTAAGTGGATACTGTGGCTCACTACACCTATCCCTAATTAAGAATCAAAACGTAGATGTGTTGTCATACCTGAGTACCAAGATGGAATGCCTCGTTAATATTAAAGGGGTGAAAAAAGGACAAACTATTTTACAGTCTAACTAACGGTAAGTGGCCACTACAGCAGTACAATGTATGGTCACCGCTAGGGACTAAGATGTCACATCACAGCCTGTAACTACTACAAAATAATTTAGTCTATTTTAATTAATGCTGATATGTCGTGCGAATATGAAGATACAAAACAGCAAAATATTCATTTCAAAATAAAATATTTATTTTGCACTATGTGCTATATCTTGATAAGAGCCTTAAAATACTGTAATTTATTAAAACAAAGTTGGCAAATCTATTGTAAGTTGAATACGCGGTTTGAAGAGGTGTGTTTTGCGCCTGTCTGCGCGTCCAGCCCTTTCCAGACCCTGCCCAGGGTGCAGAGCATGGACAAATATACCAAGCAGTGTATCTCAGCTAGCACTTTTTTCGAAAGGTCTGAACTTTCAGCTGTGAACTTAAAATAAAGGTGTTGATGCGTGTCTGAAATATGGTTTCTGCATGGTAGGGGAAGTATAGTTACAGAGTTAATACACCTCAGTGCTGGGCGCAATACATCTCATTTCTGTGAGTTGGCGGACTTCGCATGTCCTCGAAATATTCTATTTCTCAGATGTGTAGGTTTCCTCGCTACGTTTTCTTTTACCGCCGAACACTTAGTTAACCAGCACTTAAAATTGATATTAACAATTTAATTGGTGCCAGCGGGTATCGTAACTGACCACGGCTCATGTGGCATGGTATATTTTTATTTTTCATTTATAGTTTATATAATATTTTATTATGTATAAAGTAATTGTATATTATTTATTACATTGCACAATTATTTCAGTTGCGAGTTCTATTCATGAATCTTGTTGGATTTGGTTGGGCGATGTTTCTTGCCACTAAAAAGCGCGAGCAGAGTCAGAAGAAAGATGCTAAAAACTAAAAACACAATTTGACTGCTGCGTGCACTGAAGGTGTTGGATATATTCTTATTTACCTATTACTTAACAATGGTTAATTTGTAATAAAAAAAAAATATGAAATATTACGTAATATTATAAGTAAGTAAGTGAATTAAACAGGACTGTTTATATAGGTGTCATGAAAAAGAGTTAAAATATTTTGAAAACCATAGTTATAGTAATAAGTTTCTGCATTTTTAAAACAGTACGTTTTAATTAATTATATGTTTATATTATGAAATTATTGCTATTTGTTATTAATTTAATTTTCATGTGTTATTGCTTGGTTTATTATGAATTTATGATTTTATGCATTCCACGTAGACTTCGTTCACTTGTTTGCTTGCTATTTTTTTTAATATCTTGAAATGATAAATCGAACTTTGCTAACACAAACCTAAACACATACTAATAAAAGTTAGGTAAGTAGATCAAAATTGCAAAATATCAATTGTTCGCATACTATCAAATATTATCTTGGCATAAACGTTCTCGCTCAGCGGAGTGCGAATGCTCGTGCGGGTTGTAGATTCCAGACAGTTTTTTGGAATCTCAATAGGTATAATATAAAAATATAATAATTTCGATAAATATATGCCTACAATTTACTTGACAATTTGACGTAATGGTGTAAAAATATTTCTTAAGATTACATTTGATTTTCACAGTATCATATACCTAAAAAAGAAAATGCCACCTAGCAATATCTTTAGTGAATATCTGTGTTCTGTCAATCAAAATTGTATAGCAAATAGTACTAAACTAAACGTTAGCATTTGATAATTATGATAGGGAATTATGGAGCAAGAGTAGCCCAATGATTTTTTTTTTCTATATGTATGTAACGGTAAATGTTTTAAGGGTGTCTATATACAGGGTAAGGTTGGTTCCGGAGTGTGTGTTAAATGTATGATAGTACGGAATACGAAGCAAAAAAACATCGTGAGTTCTCAGCACACACATTTTTGCTGAGCTGTAGTAAAGTAATGTTAACAGCCTTGCATTTTGTATTCTTTATTTTTAAACGTCTTAGGTTCGAATTCACTATTCGACTTCTATACCCTGTTTTTTTTTTTATTTTATAAAACCTTTGCATGATATTTGTTTTAAATTTTTTACACCTATGAAATAAGCTTAAATATTTTAAGTCGGTGTGGTAATGTTTTATCAGAAAGAGTTATTTACAATAAGACAACGTAGGTACTTATTAAGTGGCGAAGCTTGCGAAGTCACTTATTGATTTCACGATGTCTGTCCGTCTGTCCGTCTGTCCCACGATTATCTCGAGAACGGTTTCGAATTTTCAAATTCTGTTTTCAGCAATCTAATACTGATCACCCAGGCATCTGAACCTCCTATTTTGAAACTGATTGGTCAACGGCAACCGTTAGAAACCGCTACAAAGCTGATTGCTTCGCCACTTTGCTATGCTGTTAGCTTGCTAGGTTTATTTGTATGTGTATATTATTCCTTGTTGTGTGTATACTCTTGTGTATTAAATACACGGTTGTGGTGATATATTTTCATTTTACATACAATGGAGTTATTCAAGCATTTATTGTTAAAAAAAAATTGTTAAACATTCCATTCCATTCCATGTTCACACTTTTTGTAGTTATCAATAGATTTATTGCCCTAGAAGAATGTCTCACAATGTGCTGTCACAATGTTTTGTTTCCTGTATAATTACTAGTTACAATAAAACTTTGTTATTAGTTTTACAAGCAAGCAACGGTTATAAGCTTTATTGTTTTCGACGTTGATGAAATGCTGTTTCTAATGGCGATTAGTGTCCGGATCCTACACGTTTAGTTTTTGTTATTAAATATACCTACCTACGTACTTACTACTTAGTGTATAATATAAAATGTTTATAAAACAAAATTTTTAACAGCGCGTAGCGAATGCAGTAAAACTTAAAAATAGTATATTATCGTCTTTAGTCGGTCGTTCAGCACATCATCACAATGGAAATCGAAGCATTTCTTAAAAACGTAATTAAAGCCTTTATGAACTTGAAACTACCGCCGGTTTTAAAGTGGGATCTCGGCACAGGAAAACAGATGCAGAACTGTAACTATTACCATATGAATATAATATTATTATGTATTAGTCCCAACTGTTACCTTTTTAGGATTCAATACATAGTGATATTGTTCGACTTGCCAACTGTGGAATGTTAACTTGAACTTATTATTTATTACTTGATATGTACATGTTTTTATACATTACTTAATAAAATTATATTTTCATATTTCCGATCTTTCCTTTTATTTATTTTTTAATCGTAGCTCTTACCCCAGAAATTTCTTCTGTCTATCACGGTTTGTTTCTCATGTTCCTATATTGAAAGTTTTTACTTAATAGATAAATTTAATGTAGACAAAACACCTACAGGGTCTTGAGGTTTTATAGGCTATATTGGTACATATTCCGTGCGGGAATACAAACTCCGGCCCGTTAGCCTGCAGTTAAATGCATGGTGAATATTCGTCTTACGCGGGTTTTTATTGGTCTTTTAGTTTATCCTACATAGGATCTTACGTAAGAGATACCATATTCACAGTTAAACTTGTACACTCCTATATTTTGCAGAGGGATATTACACTTTACAGATGGTAAAAACTTACTAATCTTCTTCGGCAGCTTGAAGTATGTTTTAATGGAAGCTCGTTTCAAGATTTAGCCAACCTTGTCAGTGACACCTCCGATAGGTAATACTAAAGAGGGCAGTACAGCAGCCTCACGCTCGTATATACACTCTTATCTATGCGTTCGACTGTAGCCGGCTTCGTCGTGCAAAACTTGATTGACTTGTTAGAGCTTAGAGAATACATAAGCACAGCCTGCTAATATAAACTAAGTATTGGAGCTCGGCGGCCAGGTGTTTACTATCACAGATTATTCGTGCTCTGTGATAACACCTTGAGCCACACTGTATATTTAGACGTGGTTGAGCCCCGCTGCATCTATATTATGGTTGTACCACGAAAAATTTACTTTAAAAAAGTCCCGCTGGGTTTCTTGCTGGTTCTTGCCAGGGCAGAGGGTTTTTTTTCGAACCAGTGGTAAAGTAAAAGTAAAAAAAATTACTCAACAGGAATTAAACATGTGCTCTATATTGAATAAAAATTATTCTATTCTATTCTAATGGGTGCCGTGTAGTGACGGTTAAGATTATCCACACACACCCACAAGAGGGAAACAAGCATGAGATGGGCAGCAGCATCTTTCTGATAACAGCACTAGTACGATAAAAAACTTTGGTAACCGACCAACCCGCTCGCCGAGCGTGACACCTATCGCAAACATCCCCCCATGAGCAACGACACATATAAACGCCCCCCACTACCCAACGGCCCCGCTATTCCAAGCTATGGTGGCGCCCATGGTAATGGCGGGCTAGGGGATGCTAAGAATCTCCGGTGAAGGTTTGCTTGCCACCTAAGGACTGAAGACTACCCTGACGAGAAGATCCTATAGCTGGAAGAAGAGAAACAAGTTGCGCGATCTTCTAACTTGTTCTATCACCGCGAAGGCGACAATCTGTCCCAAAGAGGTGTCGGATTTATCATCCCCAAGTCTGTTAACAACGTTGTAAAGATTGTGAGTATGTCGACGAGGGTTACCTTATACTCAGAATCATAAAACGGTATTCGTTGAAGGTCATACAGGTTTACTCACCTACTTCGGCATATCCCGATGAGGAGGTGGAGGAAATGTATGAGGATATCTCTAGCCATGTATTCCTCCAAAACCCCATAATGCGGTGTTAATGGGAGATTTCAACGCATAACTAGACACGAGACAGAACGGTGAGCTGAAGGTAGGGAAAATCGGAATAGAGCAACTGAACCTAACGGGGCAGCGGCTGGCCGACTTCATAGAGAAAGAGAGACACACACAGGAAGTGGACCTGGTCCGAGGCCCGACGGTTCCACAAAATTAGATTGACTTCATTATGACGACTAGACGGCAACTGTTCAGCGATGTCTCAGTGATCATAAGGGTGAAAACTGGCAGCGATCACCGAATGGCTAACCATGTGATCTATATTTTAATAAAAAAGATGCCTCTAAAGGATCACTGATCCTAAACATTAAGTTAGAGTGATCACGTCTAATGAAGTCAACGCTCCGTCTCCCTCGTACTCTAATCTAGTCCCGAACACTTTTAGCTCGAGTTACAAAACCTTTTTTAGTCTAGAAGACTACAATGCAGTGGACGATATGAATGACAAGCTCGTGGAAACTGTCCATGCGGTCGGAACTAAGTTCTGCAAGACCCGTCGTAGAACACTAAAACTCACCGATCATACTCTTAATCTTATGACTGTTAGACGGGAAATCTGTAGTCTTCAGCAGATTTGACAGCATACGAGCAACTGAACAGATCTCCAAATGCATGCGGCGGGACTTACGCAACTTCAGCACAACTCTATTGAAGGAGCGATTGAGCGAAACCAGTGCTCCAAAGTCCTCGCTCGAGATCTGTCTGCCAGAAACAGCCAACTGTTGCAGCTAAAGACCGTGTGTGGCAGCATCGTTTGCGGGACACCTGAGATTTTAAATGAGATCGAGAGTTTATATGGGCAACTGTACACATCATCGTTAGAGTCAGACGTAAGTGTGAGTACCGATCCAAGAGCAAGTCTTATCCAACAATATTTCGATGATATTCCGGACTTCAGTCTGAGCGAGATTAGAATGGCTCTCCATCACCTTAAAAACGACAAGGCCCTGTGGGCTAGGATGGAATTACAGCGGAGCTTCTGAAAACGGAGACCCTTTTTACTGGAAAAAAGGCATTCCATCTTAGTCCTCACGGGTGACAACGCATCTGCATTTTGATTTTTTATTGCGGATAGATGTAGATGTCTATAGGTCACAGCAACCACGTACCATTAGGTGGACTGTGTGCTCGTTTGTCAAAAAACGGGTGGTAAACCGGTACTTGAAATCCTTCAGAAGCTTTTATTCCGTCCTCAGTGGTGGGATTACTCCGGAGGCGTGGAGCAGAAGTGCGGTGGTCTTGTTCTTCAAGAAAAGCGACAACGCTCTCTTGAAGAACTACAGACCGATTTCTCTTCTGAGCCGCGACTATGTGCTGTGTTAGTCATTACGAATTTTTAATAAATTTTATATTAACACTGAAAAGTACATTTTCAGTGTGGAACTCATCGCACCATCTACCGGAAGGGCAAAATAACGCATACCGGACCAGCTAGTATAAGTATCATCATCATCCCATCATTATTACAGCCTATCAGTCTCTTCCAAAGGCTTCCCTCATAAAGGAGTTGTTTGCTATTATTGCGATGCTTGAACCCGCCTGGTGTCAGCAATCGCTGATTTTTTTCATTTTCTAGTTGTTGATAGGAAGATGCTGCTGCTCTTCGCCTGGATTGTTTCTCTCTGTTGCCTCTTACTACACCCCAGGACGATGTCGGTACATACAACGACACTCTACGTTAAATAATAAATGTAAAAGTATGTCAATAAAACCTGGGACAAATAGTCCGCCTAGGCAACTCCAGCTTCGACCGAGAGGCCAATCGACGGAATCCATTCTGCTGGGCAACGTTCGGGAAATTACGACACACCTTCTCGTCAGGTATACAGCCTAAAAATTTACAACCAGTGCGTGTAGCCAGTGATGACATGGATCTGAGACGTGCTCCTTCACTGCTGGCCGTATGAGGAAGCTCAAAGACGCTCAGCGAGCTATGGAGAGGGCTATACTCGGCGTTTCCCTGCGTGATAAACCTAAAAATGAGGATATCCGCAGTACAACCAAAGTGACTGACATGCTAGCAATGGGCTGGCCATATGGCTCGAAGAACTGACAACCGATGGAGAAAAAGGTTCTAGAGTAGCAGCCTCGTACCAGCGAACAAAGTGTAGCGCGTCCCCCCACTAGATGGAGTGACGACCTGGTAACACAGTTGATGGATGAAGGTGGTTTAGGGACCGTGCTTTGTGACATTCCTTGGGGGAGGCCTATGTTCATCAGTGGACTTGTGAAGGTCTGTAACGATGATGATGACGAATGGGTCGGCTCGACCGGAGCGCAAAATAGAGAAGCTGTTATGTATGGTGAGTAGAGAGAACCGGAAACCCTTTTATTGAAAACAAGGCATCGCATCTTAGTCCTCAGGCGGGACAACGCATCTTTATTTTGATTCTTAAATGAGGATAAATGTAGATGTCTATGGGCTACAGCATCCACTTACCAACAGGTCAAATTGTGTACTCGTTTGTCACACTTATTCATCACAAAAAAATCTATACAGATAAGACATTTAAACGGTGATTCTCACCACTATCCTTCACAGTTAGCTACCGCGGGAAATTCTTTGTTTTAGATTTTTCCACGCGATCAAATCCGTAAAAACTAGTTTTATTTCCTTTTTAGTTTTTAGTACCTACTGCAAATATTATTTAAGCGCTTTTTGGTACCTATCTAATTTAAAAAAAAACCAGTTGACAGCAATGTCTTTCGTCAATGTTCAATGACAGCTCACATGTAAAGGAAGATGTGTCGTATGAAGGACAATTAAGCTTTACAATTATGTTGAACGGGATAAGTCGGATTTTTCGGCGAGTTAAGTTCGAAGTGTTGCCCTCCCGCGTGTTCGCCATCCGCAATTAAACTAGACGCTTGTGTGAACGAGCTATGGGCAAAGCTTCCGAGTAATGTTTGTCAGCTGGCCCACGCTTCGAAAGGCGTTAGTTAAGGGTGGAATAAATGGGGCTATTGATAGGTAATACTTTTAAGTGGGTAGTTTAATGTTGGATACCTTGCATTAGACTTAATTTCGTATTATGCCCCTTTGCCGAGGGCATTAATAATTTTAGCCGTCGACATGACATATGGGTCACAAGCCCAGAGCCTCCGGCCTGTCAGAGAAATAAAACACATTTGTTCCTTGCATTTTTCATTGATAATGTTTTTATTTTATTTTCTAAAGTTCCCCAAACTATCCTATGCTCTGCATGATCAAAGTGGCCATGGCCGTCAATAAATAGCGACGGCAGATACCAATTTGTTGTGCATTTGCTGACGCGGTGTCGCTTAATGAAGTGGTTTCGAATATAAAATGACAATTTTGTAGTTATGTATAGATTGATTTTATCTAAATGCTAGGTACTTATCTCAAAGTCAAGGAAAAGAACTCCATCGCATTGTGGTATATTATATATATTGAGCGTTAAAAATATAATGAAGAGGTCAAACAAAAAATAATATTCGTCATCACATTACTTTATTTGACAACAGCGATTCGATCCATCAAATTATATGATATTTTATTTAAATTATTTCACCAACTACTCCATATTATTATCATTAAACATTTCGTTAGTTAAACACACAAAATATGGTATTATTGTAAGTTGTGCTTACATGCTGATTTTTATTTAATTCAAATTATATGAGTATATCCATTAATAATAATTTCACATCCAATATATTGCTTACTCAAATAAAACTTCCATAGTTTTACAGTTATGAATTAGTAACACAGTTATCAATATGAATGAAAGTTGAGTATTTTAGGTTTAATTAGTCCCACTATGAGATTAAGAAGATACTTCTCTGTCGGAACCACGGAGCAGTCGTAACATGCAAAGACGCCGTAAATGTAACAAGTTTGTTTAAAGTAACATTGAAAAGGGATGATTTTTGTAAGAAAGTAGAATGTACTAACTATATAAAGATATATTTGTGATTTTAAAATCAATCATATTTTTATGAAATAATGGAAGTGACGAGTTACGACTTTTCTTTGACGGCAGAACTACTCCATTTTCAAACATAATTAAGTCAAGCACATGAAAACATTAGGTGGTGAATATAAATAGTTAATAAATAATTATTACAGTTAAATACCTGTTGACCAAAATAATTGATGGTTAAGATTACATTTAACTTTTTTAATGTTTTGGCACATGATATGTGCCACATTTTAATCAGGTATTCTAAACCTTATTATAATTCCTAGACATGCGAACCGTAACCAGTAAACATAAACCGGTGCGCGCTGCATTGCTGCTACTTGCAAAATAAATAAGCTGTAAATGACTAGTTTAATAATGTAAATATACATTGTCAATAAATAAATTGCACTATAACCTAAATATATTACTTTAAATTATAATTAAGACTAGAGTATTTTTGGTACGTTTTAATGTCTACAAATCAAATTCATTTTAATAAAATTATCAACAAATTAAAATACTTTAACAAAATAAGTGTGTAAAAAATAGAAAAACAAAACGAGATCAAATGAAATTCTAGTTATTTTAAAAACATAATTGATATTTATATATATATATAAATATAAGAATTTATATGATGATACTCGATAATATATTTCAAATGTGTTTCGAAAGTTCAGCAGTTCGATATTTTTTTGATTTTTCCCCACTAATCATTAATAAACTGCATGTTGTATTAAGAAATAAAGTTATTTGTAACAGATTTCTTTAAAATAATAAATTTTATTTATGAATGTTACCACATTTTAAATACAATAATAGCAAGTTGTATAGAGTATCTATTTTGTAGATAAATTTTTAGCTAATTTATTTATTATGAGTATTTGAACTCTGAACCTGTATATCGTATAGTAAATATAGATGACTAGAAAAATCATTAAAAAATTAAATTACCCGCCAAAATATTTTTTCAATAATTATAATTAAATGCTTGCCATTAATTATAAAGTTTAATAAAAAAAAAACACATGACGCTGTCAAAACTGTTTCACCTTACACGAAAAAGAAAGATAGGGAGCGATACGTACATTTCAAATGAAGCTGTAACCGTGCCCAACTTGACTCGCAGGCAGCCCGTAAGAGTTCATAGCTGGACACATTATTTGTATCTAGTGATGTTGTTTTGTTTTGGCTTGGTTTTTGCGTCACTTGATAATATGTACGCAGCACTCCGTCAGTCTTTTTTTCTTTGTTGGTCTGAGGTTTTCATATAAAACTATTTATAAGGAGCTTTGCTGTGACATAATCTATTGATTAATGGCAAGCATTTACACACTATTCTAAGCAAGAATATGTGTGCACATAGCTCTATAAATAAATGATTGATAGAATTCGGACTTTTTGAATTTTCACAAACTTCAAAAGATAACAGTTTAATAATTGAATATATTTAAGACTAGCTGTTCCCCGCGACTTCGCCCGCGCGTAATTTATTACGATTGGATTTCATGGGTTTTAACTTTTTGCGCGGAACCCTAATTCTTTTTCTAAAATAAAAGTAACCTAAGTTACTTCTTATAACATCAGCTAACTGCCAGTGAAAGTCCGGTCAAAATCGGTCTGGCCGTTTCGGAGATTAGCCGGAACAAACAGATAGACAGACAAAAATTTTAAAAATCGTGTTTTTGTTATAAGTACCGTATATACTTTCATATGCATATAGTAAAAAAGCTGTTTTTTCGACATTACAAACAGACACTTTAATTTTATTTATTTGTATAGATTAAGTCGCAAATTACGTAGGACTACGCTGCGTTGTTAAGCGTTGTCGTAAAACATTGAGTTTTCCACCATTTTATATTATGTCAAATATTTCTATTATTAATCTTTAGTCATCACGTTCAGGCCTTGGAGATCGAGTCCAGCTTCTTTGTGAGGATCTGCTGCTGTAGTAGCTCACTGTGCTAGGCGAGGAAGGTGTTGGTCTTCGGTACGGTATGGGTCGTTTGCGAGCGCTGTTCAGATTGTTAATGAGGTTAGTAGACGTGCAAGAATATTAGTACATGTTACAGTTAAGGAAATTTAATTAAACGTGCATTTTATTTAAAAAAAAAATGTAAATTAGAAACATAAAATATAACAGGCATGAGTATGATTCCTTTCTCGATATATTTTTGTTTGTTTTTACACAATATTCTAGGTTAACATTAATAAATATCCCAATTACGATTAGCATTTTGTTGGTTGCTATTATGTTATTGTTTTTGAAGCTTTTTCGTGGTGAATATATATATATATATAAACATAATTTAAACTGTTCTAATTTACCAAAGGCATGTGAAAAATCAAATCAATTTGACATTAATTGATTTAACTGAAGCATTTCTTTCATCTTCAACAAAAATATTTTTTATTTGTTATAGGCAAAAGTGATTGTGAAATGAGACTAAGTGCCAACTTGAAAAAAAATTTGAGTTGGCAATAACTAGTGATGTGATCACACTCCTCTTCTCTATCTATGCTGCCAGCTTCGAGTTTCGTGATATTAGATGGTATTGTATCTGTGAGTGATTATGTTGAAAACATTTGTAATATAAAAACTGATCTGGGAATCCGCATCAAGTTTTACGAAACTTAAGAAATTTGCCATTTCTTACCATTTCAAATGAACCGGAGGCATTTGGAGTTGAAGCTTTATCTCTGGCAAATGTTTAAATGGTATAAACAGTTTTCAGAAGGGACATTGTGAAATAAAAATTTAAGGCAATGTCAATCGTCTTCTTCGACACTAAGGCATTTCTAATGATTGAAGGGTTCTCGGTTTATTTTATTGGGGGGTAAGACTGACTCAGACTACTCAGTAGTAACGAAATATTTCCACTTTAATGTATAGTAGTATATAATATACTGCTACCACATTCAAGTACTGAAAAAACATCGTAAAAATATTTGCAAAACAGATACAGTTGTTGAGTTAGCTGTTGTATCACGACAATTCTTTGGAGCAGTTTCTGACCAGCAAAACATTCCTATGATGAAGATCTACGTTACATACACACTTTTTTATTTCCCTAAGTTAAAACTTGCTTAAATGAAACATATTTTACGTCAGTTAAAGATGTTCAAACATAAACATTATTGGAACAATCAAATTTTTTTTGTGCCACACTTAGTATATCAAAATCTACTTCAAACCATTATATAAATGATAGCACAGGAGCAACACTTCGTTCGCGGTCATGTTGCTGGAAAAAATTTGTTTTTTGTTTCTTCAATTTCCGGTTAAAATGTTCAAGAATTTTCTAGAAAATACTTTTGAACTAGCTATTACTAAATAATTGCGATTGAAGATTTGTTGTAATGGAAATCTTTGGATAAATAGCAGTGATTTGAAGAAATACTAATTTCATAATAAGAGAATGAAAAAGGTAGCAACAATTTTCATTACATTTCTAGTGAAACCTTTCATACAAAAATATCGAGTAAGTATCACGCTTTGAAAAATATGCAAAAAGTTTATCGCTTACCTTAGTTTTGTAGTGATAATGCCAAACTAGCTTTATAGAATTAAAAGAAAAAAAAATTTATTATATTTCAGTGTTTTCTACGTGTCTCATCAAGGATGCAGTATTATCTAGCATGCAAAAAAAATTAAAATAAAATAAAAAGAAAACAAATAAATTACTTCTCAATAAACTTTAATGTGATAAAACAAACGGATTAATATAGTGGAAACATAAAAACTTGAAATAAATGTCCGTTGGAATAAAGCAACACTGTCTACGTCTGACATCAATGTGAAGTATTTCCTTATTATGTAAATAATTGAAAAATTCATCTTTTCATTTTGACTCCGTTCACCTTCTTCTTCTATATTTGTATCTGTTTGGTTCGTATGTAAGATCTATTATGGGTGCGCTACGGAGGAAAAAATATTACATTAATAAATTATTAAAACTTCCTCAATTGAACCCTGGTAACATTAATAACAAAAAATACGGTAACTTAGGAACACAGTATGAAGTAGCACACCCCAGTTAGTATAATAATAGTCTTGCATGTTAAAACCTTGTGATGTAAAACAAATACATGAAAATGAAATATTTCGTCATAAAAGATTAAAAATATTTTTGAATATGTCGTGATTTGAACGAATGAAGACAAGTTAGAGCAGAATTCATTTTAAATATTGTTTTACAAGAGGAAAACTAGAAAAGAGCTGGCACTTTTTAAAGTACTCAAATTCATGCAAAGTACCATATTATTAATAAGTGTATACTTTGAAATTTACTATTGGCCATGTCGGAAGAAAAAACATGTTTGTTTCGATTGTTTAGATTTACACTTAAATAATTCACAAAATCAAAACTTACACCTGACTGTATGTCATTTGAAATAAAAATTATATAAATTACTAAAATTCAGGATGATACAATGAAATAATAAATAGGTAATGAGTGCAAGAGCAACCAAAGTGTTATTTATTCCAAACATTAGATGGTGAATGCAATAATAAACAAGGTGTGAAATATTTAGCAATATATTATTAAAACTTAAAATAAGTCTTATACGAACAATAATACAATACATATAAGTAACTTAAACCAAAACTAAACTAGCACAGTCACTTCACTAATCGGAGCTACTACTTGTGTCTTCGGAACTCGTGCTATAATTTCGTGATTTTTTTCTACAAAAGAGAAAACGACAAATATTGGATAAGACAGCAGAAAACAAAACCACCATATCAGGGCACATTTATTTTGATATGTGTCATGGTATGGTTAGGGCAAAAAAATAATGAAAGCTAAAAGTAAAACATAATTAGCATAAAGAAGCGGCACACGAAAATGTTAAAACATACTACAACACACTTGAAACAATAACGACATCTGTTTGATAATATTGTATGATTTTTTTTGTAACTTAATACTAGCAGAATAATAGCACTAATTTCATAAAAACCCCGACTTTGATACAAACGGAATATCATTATTGTTTCGGTAATATCCCTATTTACTCCAATACAGTGCTTTAATTCAATTTAATAAAATAAATGTATACATAACATTACGATATGTAAAAAACACCTTATCCGATCCGAAAGGATATATTAATTATACAAGAATATAAAGATGTTATAGTTAAAATGTTGAAATCCATGTTATTTTTACTAAAATTTGCTTTTTTAAACCTCGCAACACCGTCGAACGAAAACATTAGTGAAGCTTGAGGTCAACCGGTTTGTTACCGGAGGGCCGTTTGCGCCGCATGTGTTGCCATGTAAGTTTGCTCCTTTAACTAATTTTCTTTTTATTTATGCAGGGTAATTTTTTTTTTTTATTTATTCTCTCATATGGATTGAAACTTAAAAAATCAGCCATATAAACATTTCAATGAACAAAATCATTTCACGAAAATAGAATTATGTCACTAAAAGCACTCTCACGGATCGGACAGGGCTTTTTTTATATTAAAAGAATTTCATTGTATACAATTTATTCTATTGAACGGATTTAAAAAAATAAATGTGGCCTAAAATGTTTAAGTATTTAATTGTTCAATAAATAATAGATGTTAATCTGTTGCATTAAGACGTAGAATGTAATGTAAAGCACTGTACGGAGGGCGTGGTACCTCGTGATGCGCCTCCTATCCAAGAAACTGGGCGAGCCGGCCCGGCGCGGGATGGAGGGCGAGCGCGAGCGCGTGCGGCCGCGCGTGGCGCTCGATCTACGGTAATCGGCGTACACGCCCGTCATTGTTCTGTGCGTTACGTGTTTGTTGTTTGTTGCATGCATAGCGTTCGATTTTTGAATTTGCCGTTTTGGTTTTTTATTTTTTTTATTTTCGTTGCGGAAAACAGAATTTACGTTAGTTGGAATTTTAAATGAAGATATAGTTTGTATAGGCGAGTATTTTCGATAATACACGTCTCAAAGAAGATTTTAGTTGACATGTCGAATAATTGCATTTCAATTATCTTTGTGAAATATTATGCTTTTATAATTAATATTAAGTGCCATATTGATAATTTTAAACATAATTAATACACTCTAGGAGAAATAGCTTAACACTAATCGAAAAAACTCGCCAAATAACAAACAAATTCAAGAATAAACTGCAATTTATATTATTACAATTACCTAGATGAACGTGTGGATCTGGAAGAGCTACGTGAAGATCTAGACGAACTTCTACTGCTGTAAGAACTGGAACGACTTGATCGTGATCGCCTGCAAAATTGAACATCTTTATTTCGGCCCACCTAATAGCTATTTTCTTAAATATGACCCTTCATAAATTTCACCAACTAATTTATAAGCAATCACCTTTGGAACAAAAATTACAAAATTAACTTCTATGCTGGTCTTTTGTTTGTATGATCAAGGTAAGAGGGTTACAGAGCAATTACGTAGGCTACTTCTTCAATACGTTGGCCCATCCATCACCCTATTTCACCCCGTGGGTGTCGTAAGAAACGACTATGGGAGGAGTCAGAAAGATCTTATTGCTTCTGATAAACGACGATATAACAATTCCTTTAAGCCAGGCGTAAAATATTCAGACCGACGATGCAGAGACACCTATGGCCAACAGTGCACTTTTGCGGGCTATTGAAGAAAAAGCAAAATAGATCCAATTCACAAAAATCTACCAACTAGTAGATTCCAGGGATAGTTTTCAATAATTATTAAAAATTTGTTATAAAGAACTTATTTTACAACTCATTTTTGACCCATATTATGTGGTTTGGATGCTTAGTAAGTACGTTCAATCATAAAAGGCAAGAGTGGTAAATGTCGAATTACGATATGCAGGTATGTATGTTTTATTTGTAATTTATTTTATTTAACTGAATTACTGAACACCCCTGAAAGATCCTTACCTTGAAGAAGAATAAGACCGGGACCTGGAACGCGACGATCTTGATCGCGAACGTGATCTTGATCGAGACCGTGACGATTTGCCTCGAGAACGGGATTTACCACGGGAATTGGATTTGTCTCGGGAGTGAGATTTGCCTCTAGAATGCGATTTGTCCCGTGAGAGCGACTTGGCCCGCGAATGAGATTTCTCCCGAGAGCGGGATTTGTCACGAGAGTGAGATTTTTTACGGGAGCGAGATCTTTCACGCGACCTGGACTTTGACCGTGAACGTGAACGAGAACGACGCGACGAAGATCTCGACCAACTTCGGGATTTACTTCTCCCTCTCTTTAGTTCCGGAGAACTCTCTATGTTTACTGGACTCTTTTCCTTTACCGGGCTGGACTTCTCTGGGCTTTTATGATTCCGTTGTGGTGATTTTTCTACGGACTTTTCTACTAAGGTACTTATTTTCCTCGTTTTTTCTTCCACTAATTTCACTTCGCTACTGCAGGCTTGCGATGTAGAAGCATTAGCATCGTCAGTCCTCTTTTTCTCCATAGAAGCTTTGGCCATTTGGGCTAGTTTCTCTTTTAACCTGGTTAATTCCTTGATGTCTAACTCGTCCTGTCTAGCCCTCTCGTCTAACCTTAAGAAGTCATCTTCAGAGTCTTCGTTCTCGCTGGATGAACTTCTCATGCAAACAGCCTTAGGTTTATAGTTTTCAACGATCTCTTTATTCTTTTTTCTTTTAGGCTGTAAGTCTGATGGAGATTTGATGTATTTACGTTTGTCTTTTTCTGGTAGTGTTTCAATTATATCTCTATATCGTTCAGGACTCCGCCTTGCCGGGGAATAACTGAGGCTCGATGTGCTTCTGCTTCTTTGCTTCGAACGCGATCTCGATCGGTCCTTGTGAGAATCTCTACGATTTTTTTCGTGTTTATTTTTGTTGTCTATTTTTGGAGACGAAGAACGTCTTTCATGTAATTTTCTTCCCTTTCGTACTGGTGTGTTACTTTTTTCCTTCTCCTTCGTACTGCTCTTTTTAGGTGGTGAAGGTGACCTAGACCGACTTTGAATATGGTTGTGCCTTTCATCGGGAGTTGACGACTTTCTCTTAGAACGGCTGCTACCACGTTTGTCAACGAGTTTGAAAGGTGCCTTATAATCTTCTCTACTTTTCGGTGGTGGTGAACCCTGCTTTTTAGGTGGGGACGATTCATGCCTTCGTAATGGTGACCTATCGTGCCTTCTTGGTGATGTTTCGTATTTTCGGGGTGGAGAAGTACTACGCTTTTTTGGCGGTGACGAATCTCGTCTTCTGAACGGTGATGGATCACGTCTTCGTGGTGACGAAGAATCACCCCTTTTTAGCGGTGACGAATCGCGCCTTCTTAGAGGTGACGAATCGCGCCTTCTTAGAGGTGAGGTATCGCGCCTTCTTTGAGGTGAGGAATCGCGCCTTTTTAGAGGTGACGAATCGCGCTTCCTTAGAGGTGACGAATCGCGCCTTCTTAGAGGTGAGGAATCGCGCATTCTTAGAGGTGAGGAATCGCGCCTTCTTAGAGGTGAGGAATCACGCCTTCTCATAGGTGACAAATCGCGCCTTTTTAGCGGCGACGAATCGCGCCTTCTTGTCGGCGAATCGCGTCTTCTACTCGGTGATTCATCGCGCTTCCGTGACTGCGACGAACCATGTCTCCTTGGTTGTGGCGCATCGTGTCTCAACGGTGACGAATTATACCTTTTTGGTGATGGGGAACTTTGTCTTTTTACTGATGATGAATCACGTCTTCTGCGTATTGGCGATGGGCTACTTCTATTCTTTTCTTTCACGAGCGGCGACACACTTCTATCTTTATAATATCGAAGTTTACTTTGCAGTACTTTCTCTGGCCTTTGTTTGGGTGGCGATTCTGGTTCCGACTCCGATGAGGATAATCGTTTTGCGGATTCGAAATTTTTGTAATATCGTTCCGGCCCTTTAGATACAGGCTTTATTCTCTTATCTTTATTTTGTGGAGGATCATGACATTCAGGGGACGAATCCCGTTGAGCTCTAGGACTAATCCTAGTTTTCTTGGTCCTCGGCTGTTCCTCGTAACTGTCTCTACGTCTTGATGGTTCTCGTCTGTCGTTGTATTTCTTACTGTTATATATTTCATCTTTACTTCTTCCGATACTGTCTTCCTGTCTTCTATGATTTCTGTAGTCTCGCGATTTACTTCTCCGGTGCAACTTGCTTTCGTCTCGAGAACTCTCCCTTTGGAGTCTGTCACTATCGCGATGAGCATATTTATGATATAAGTCACTTCTTCGGTTCTCAATGGAAGGACTCTTTCTCTTCCTTTTAGAAGGCGGCGGGGACTCGCTAACTTCTCTCTGGTATTGTTTTTTATCTCTTTTATCTACTTTATTTCTAGGGGTTGGTTCCTCATCAGATTCTGAAACAGACCGTGGACGATCGCGTTTTGATGATTTAGGTCTTTCGGTATTGTCTCGAGAGGGTTCGCGCTTTTTATTTGCAATTTTGGTGACGTGGGATTTTTGTCTGTATTCCGGTGACTGCCTTCGGTTTTCATTAGACAAGCTGCGATCTTCGCGCCTTCTTGATTCATCGGGTCTTGTATTTCTAGTCGCTTCCGCGTAACGACTGTGATGTCGTATTTCATCGCGTTCGCTTTCTTTCCTTTTGCCCTTTACACTATCCGCTTTGAGCTCCTTTCCGCGTTCACTGTGCCCATCTTTCGCTTCATTTACTGGAGAACTGCAAATTTTTTTAACTTTTATTAGTTTTTACTAATACCAATTGATACATATTTTTTTTTTAAGAAATTTTAAGAAATTGAAATTTAAGATCGATGATTAAGTAAAAAGGAATTTCACATATTTCACAACATAATACCAAAATGTGCAGTGAATGTATTTAAAAAAAAAACTTATTTAAAAAAAACATACCTCTCGCGGCTGGATCGTGCACTACTTGCTCGACGTCGGGCACTCGATTTTTTCTGTCAAAATTTAATAAAAATAATTTAAATAAATCCTAAAATAGAGTTTAATTCGTAACACCAGTGCCAATAAAAGAAAACTAAGTGGATGTGGTATTCAAAAGTAACTTTTTAACTAAAACTGATGAAATCCTTTCAAGCCTGATTTGAAAAACATTGGCCGAAGAATTTCAACACGTAAAAATTATAAATATACCACTGTATCCATGCATTTCTCTATACGGAGACATTGAAAAAATCAATTACGAGGCAATAAAATTAACGGACTATAAATTACAAACAAAAACAATAACAAGAAGCTACTCACAAAAGCAATTTTAATTATATTATCATTAAAATAAACGTCGAGGAATAAATTTTAATAAGAGTTTAATTTAAAGAATGTTACATTTATCATCCATAACATTCTCAATAAACTGAGAAAAGTATAACTGATTTGGCACCAGTGCTTGGCTTATAAATATATGCTAAGTTAATGACGCAATAAAGAGTTTAAATGTAATCAAATACATAATATATATACAAGTATTACACAAAATCAAATGTAAAGTAACACTTCTGGGACGTACCTTATATAACAAACGGTGGTGGTATTTTCTACCATTTAAACATGTGGAGCATCCTTAATAAGTTTTGAGTAAACGAGAAGAGGGAGAATGTTATGGATTAGTTACATTTTGTTAAATTATTCTGGATATTAATACTAAATATACGTTAGAAAAATATGCTAATATGAGACCTGATGGAGCACAAAAAGTGGAATACATGAACATTTGCCTATGATGATATTTTTCAAGGAATAATTGATAAGAATACTTTAGTTAAATGATATTTTAATACATTTGACAGAGCAGCATTATACAAGCAATAGATAAGCACATTTTTCTAACGCAAAGTCATCGCGTCTTAAGAGTAATGCAAAACCACCATCTGTTGTAAGGCCTACGAAACACCATGCAAGTAAATAACTGTGCACACGTAAAACCCTGACAATAGCCCATGATATATGCGCTTCGCTATTTGCACGATCTCAGAGTTAGTCGCAAATGTTAAACTTCAATGATGCAATATATAAAGTTTAACACGGACATATTTTAGTATTCACCTAACATAGTGTTTTTACTGAGTGTTATTGTTTTGTGATATACTTACAGTATACGTTATTTCTTCAGATAAAGATGGCTATCCTATGAAATGATGCACAGTTAAACAGATAATTTTTACTGGCTATTTCTTGTATTTACAGAAAAACAAAAAATAAATAAATAAAAGGAAGTTCACCACACAAAGAAACAGGATACCCCATATAGAAACAATTAGCAATCTATTGAGTGATCAAACCCACAGGTAATGACATAAATTTATACTAAAGAAATTAAGTGACATCAGCAATTATTTAAATAAAGTGGCAACAGCAAAGAAAGGAACGACTGAATTAAGTTACTATTTCATCGTTGTTGTATTTAAATCCGATATTTTTGTAATATGTATAGAAGACTTGACACAAGAAGTAATAAATCATTTTCTTTAAGCTAATTTGCTTGTAAGTTTTTATGTAATGTAAAAAAAAAGTATGTGCTATTTCAGCTATAGAAAGATGACTACCCCCTCTATACATCTATTACAGTCAATGTTTATGGAAGACATAATAAGGAAGGGTTGCGAAGGGTCAGTTTTAAATAAAAATCCCCAATGAATTTAATGAAGAAAACAAAGTGTGCAAAGGCCCAGTTCCATTTTAGGTCCTCAAGGAACATCACAAATTGTCATATAATTTTGAAAATCAAAGATCATATTTTAACATGTCTGAGAAAATAAAAATATTTCTATTTCAAATTTTAAAATATAATAAACCAACATGTGCCCGGATGTTAGGGTGCATTTATTCGTACGACAATCAGTCGTAGAGTCGACGTGCATATAGTCAAGAACACTTTACAAAGTAAAACGATTTCATAAAAAGTTCTTTTGTGATTTCATTTTCTTCATAGTTTCATAAGATTGCAGCAAAATGTTCTGTCAGTCTCTGTATGTGGCGCATCTGCATTTTAATTCGCAAACGAAGATAGATGTAGGTGTCTATGGGCCACAGAAACCACTTACCATCAGGTGGACTGTGTGCTTTGTCACCCCTATTCAATATAAAAAAAGCAAAACCGAAGATATGTATGTGCATTATATTGAGTTTTAATTTTTTTTGTATGTAAACCTTATCCAACACCACCGTAATTTTTTTTTAAATATTCTTTTTTATAAACGGTAACAACGCAGTAAAAGCAGAATCAACAGGAATGATTTATATTTTGTTGTATAAACTTTTACACGACTACTAAGGCATACATATTGAATGAAACTAATTTTACGTATATTATAGCTATCGCGTTTAATTTTAGCTATTTTAATTTTCATCCGGTCTACACATAACGAGCTTCCTTTATCTTAAAGTCTTGTAGAGGTGTGCTTGGGTTTGAATTTAATGTTATTAATTACAGGATCCCAGCTGGCTTCTTTATTGAATCTTCATGTTTTTTTTTTAATATCAATAGCCTCACGAATCATACTTAAAAGGAATCGTGTTTTTTTTTTGCGAGAATTTGAGGTTTATCAATAAAAAAAAAAGGTTGGGGGCCGTTTAGAATAAAGAGATTAAAACATCGTTTCAGAAACTAAAACGTCGGGAATAACAATTAAAAAGCAACAGTACTTTACTTTTTCAGTAGTATTTCGTTTGAAGCCAGCACTAGGCAATAACGTCACCGACCACGTCGCCGACCGAATGTCGTTCGTCTAAAAGCGTTCTCACAACCTAATCAGCAATCTAAAAGAACCTTTGATGTTAAAACATAATCTTTGTGAAATTCCAGTTCCCATTTTTTACATAAATCAAATTTAATATCTAAATGTTGTGACATGTAAAAAGAAAATATGATAAAACACCTAAAATCATAAGTACCTTTTTCTTTTTCTTCTGCTTTTCATCATCAGAGCTAGCAGAATCACTGTCTTGGCCAACATCAGAACTGCCCGAGCTGTCGGAATTTGGAGACTTAGAGCGTTTCTTCTTCTTCTTGCTGGTTTCATGTCTATTGAAATAGACACAATCTTGAAAAATTATAGGAAATCAAGTGTATTCTACAGAAATTAGAAAATTATTTTATTTAACTAAAGAATAAAAAGGTATTTTTTTGGAATATGTGCAGTCTCACATGTAATAATATATGTTGTTTTGTTGTAACATCGTTTTAGTAAGGATTATTAAAAATCAATACAATTAAATTAATTAAGTACAAATACAGTAAGTATTACAATAAAGTAATACACTGAAAAAAAAAAAAACACTGTAAAAAGTTATATTATCTTACTTTAACTGGAGTCTTTAATTTTTTTTTCGTAATCTTTGCTCATTATAGCATTCTATAGAGCAAAATATGAGTATTTTATCATGCATTTAATGTCATGAATGATAAAATACTTAGCTTAAAAAAGCTTAAAAAAAATCAGTAAATTAGTTGTTTATTTGCAAAAAAGCCTATAATCACTGCAATAAGTCAGACAGATAGGTAAAGGATTTTAAAAAGAAAATACATAAATTTTTACTGTACATAGTACCAGGCATTTATTCCCTTTTCGTCCTAAAAAAAGTGGTATTAGTATTGAAAATTTTAGAAAGACAACAAAGTAATACATTCAAATACTTTTGCCATTTTTTATAATAAACCATTATAAATTAAGAATAATGCTAAAGTACGCATTTGAAATAGTATAGAATTAATAAATAATAATTCATAATGGGAAATCATATTATCTAGATTTATATATTGTTTATTTAGTTGTAACTTATTTAATAATAATAACTTATGACAATAAATAATTAAAATGGAGCAATTAAATCATTAAACATCTACATAGTATACAAACAGAGGAGGCGTCAACGAATATAATTAATTGATCAAAGTAACAAGTATCCTTCGATCAAAAATATATGAAGTTGACGCCTCCTCTGTGTACAACTCTACCCTGCTGTATATTATTACCCACCCTTAGTGCTTGCTTGTATTTTAATTATTTTTTCCTAATTCTAGAGGATATAAATTCACAATGGCATGAGGTGTATAGTGTTGCCAGTGAAAGGTAATATAGGTTGGGATACCAGTACAAATCTTATTTTTTCCCCGGAAGGTTAAAGTTCGTGTGATTCGGTCCGTCAATTCATGACTACATAGTATACAAAACACAGAGGAGGAGTCAACGAATATAATTTTGATCGAAGGACACTTACAGGTAAGTTACTTTGATCAATTAGTTATAATGAATTGACGTCATAATTTTATATTCAAATAAAAATGTTATTCTTAGGTATGTATATTATTAAATACTAAAGATTTAACTTAATTTGAATTCTAATTTAAGTGGCGTATGAGAATCCACTACCCTATATGATCACGTGGATGTCGTGTCGTAAGAGGCGACAGAGGGAAAAGAAACAGTAGCTGGGCAGCAGCATCTTTTTTCTTAAAATTTGAAATAACAAAACACAGTTTAATCAAAATTTTTCTTTTCAATTAAGAAGGCTTTTGTTTAGCAGTGGTTTTTTGGTAGGCTCTTGTACGGTTTAGCTGTGAATCCGTACACTGAAGTAATATAGTTGAGTGCAAGGAGAGAGACCGTGGTAGTATAAAATGTATTAAAATAAAGTTTAGGCTAGGTATAGAAAGTTAAATTTAGGAGTAGTACTTTCCCTTGAGGGCAATGCACTGATCGTATGTTATGTTTCCGAAGCCCGGGCGTGAAACACCGCCAATTTCCGGACACCGGGCAGCCACCGAGAATTTCTTAAGAGAAAAACCCAAAAAGTGATTTTGGCTCGGCCCGGGATTCGAACCCGGGACCGCATCCATGGTCAACAATCGCATTTCTGGGCACTAGACTAGACTCGTCACAATTTTGTTGATACATAATATTTTCGGTTTGACAAATCATAAGGTTATTTATTACAGCGTGATTTTCTGAAGTTTTTTGAGTAGATTTTACGACAATAGTCGATATATATTATGAGTTATATGACGTCATATGGACGTAATGGGGTTATCGATTCTTCTATGCTACCATTACAAAATTTGATATTTATATTACTAAATCAGACTGCAAGTTTTGCATCAGGTGTACGTTTTGAATAATATAAAAACAATATTTGACTTTATATACTACTTACTAAAAGCATACAGCTGAAATTAATTCGTCCATTAATAGACGAAAGGACAAACTTTCGTCTATTAATGTAAATTTTCATTATTTCCAATTCATAAAAGATAAGTTTGTCTGTACACTGTTTATTTTAACATGTGATTTTATGTAGAAGTAAACAGCTACCCGTACTCAAATTGTTTCTATTGTATTATGTACATTTCACCATCTGATATTAGGGTAATGTATCTGAATGAGATGAGGTAGATATCTTTATATATAAAAATTACGTGTCACAATATTTGTCCGCGATGAACTCCGAACCACTTAACTGATTTTAATGAATTTTTTTAAATATGTCTTCTTTGCTCCAACTTGAGAGGTAGGATAGTTTTTATCACGATAAGTGACCGTCAATATTTTTTTATTGCCAATTTAAAGATTTTTAAAGCACAAAGAGTCGTCCGAAAGGGCAGAATGAAGTTTGCCTGGACAGCTAGTATTCAATATAAAATAAAAAGCCAGGTTAAAATAGTAAAGATTTTATAGCTGTTACTGTGTGTAGCTGTGTACTAAGCTGCATAGTACCTATAGACAAAAAAGTTAGCTTTTTTTAGTCCCATATTTGTAACCCTATTTATGTTACTTTTTTCATCACACATATTTTATAAACGATGATCTAGAAGAGAAACGAGATACGTGCAGATTGTAGGGATGGCAATTTTAAGGAGAACAATTCCAGGCATCTTTTCCAAACAAAATAGTCTACTATAATAAAACCACTAAACACTTCTTTCCGTGGATAATCCCACCATCACCATTACAGCCCTTCACAATTTCACTGCTGAACTTAGGCCTAACCCAAGGAATGTACAAATCATAGTCTTGAGCCACCTGCATCCATCAACTTCCTGCATCTCTTACCAGGTTATCACTACATCTAGTCTGCGGCCCTCCTACACTTCGCTTTTTTCTTCCTCATCGGTTGTTTAATCTTCGAGCTATAAGGTGAACCCATTGCAACTTCAGCTTACTGATCTGTTGGGCCATGTCGTTTACTTTGGCAAAGAATCTCCGAGCATAGCTCATGTCTCCATAGCTCGCTGAGCGACCTTGATCGTAGATAATATAATCGGTCGTATGTATATACGATCATAGATATTTCTAAATTTACAGCGCGATGCAGGCGGCGCGACATGCTCATTTAGTAAATATGGTATTAAAACGTCTAAAATGCTACACTTGCATGTTTATCTTCTAGACTCGATGTTATAAATAGTAAAAAACATTTTTTGATTCATACAGTCGTTACAGCCTACAAAAATTATCTGTTAAACGATGAAGGAGGCCCACCTCCTTAGAATGTCTAATAGTACTTACATGTAAATATCCCCCATATTTGACATAGTTGCCACGCTTGGCTGGCGGGTTGGTATCTGCAGTTTTTTATTATTTTAAGTTGTTATCAGGAAAACGCTGCAGCCAATCTCATGTTTTAGTTTCTCTCTGTCACTATTTACGACACTCATGGGATGGTACGTACGTCAGTACCACAGATTACTTACAAAATCAGTACCTAGTTGGGGTTCTCTATGTCGCCGCTACATAGAGTAATTAAAATAATCATAATTGCAAATAGAATATCGCTCATATTATTTACAAATATTATATTTGTTACCCACATGTTAAGGTAAAATGCGGCTTACATCACATAAACAAGAGGGTTGCATAATCACTGCTCTCTTTGAATGGCATTGTATACGATGCCATTCTAAGAGAGCAGTGATTACTATTAATTATTTAACAAATAAAGTAACAATTCACTCAAACTAGTCATTAATTTACACTGAGCAAATTGTATATTTGTAGAGAAGACATATCTGTCCTTGACGGACTTTAAAATAAAAAAAATAACTAATAAAAATAGTTCTGCAAAAAACTAACGTGTATTGCATACTGCTTATTTTAATTTTTATTGAATAAGAGTACAAATAAGCACACAGTCCACCTGATCGCAAGCTGAGGCCCATAGATATCTCCATCTATCCTAGATAAAATATCAAAATACAGATGCGTTCTCACTCCTGAGGACTAAGATGAAATGCCTCGATTCCAGTAAAAAGGGTCTCCGGTTCTCTACACTCACCATACGAAACACTAGTATTAAGCTGTTATTTCAGCTTGTATTCTGTGAGAGCGTGGTCCTTCCCCGATCGAGCCGACCCATACGTGCTTCAATCAAAAAATAGCTGCAGCGTGTCCACCACGGAGTATAATTTGTAAATGAGTTTGTTATATCATAAATGAAGTTGTAAAAGTGAAAGCAGTTAGTGAATAAAATTAGCAAGAGTCATACCTACACATGTACTTCCACAACATTTTTCTTTGACTGAAATTTACAGTAAAAACATTGTGAGATAATTTCAAATATTGTAACTATACACAAGACAATCAAGTTATCACTGTATACTTGCCTTTTTGTCAATTGAAGTGTCACCTGCCTGGGTGTTAAATATTTATTTAAGACATTGAATAGTAACAGATCTTAGAAATATTGTAAAGTAGATAACAGGACAAAAACAAATAATAAATAAAAATAATACTCACTTGTCTTTCTTATTCTTCTTGGATTTTTTCTTCTTGGATTTCTTTGATTCTGGCGATGCACTGGAAACACGTACAGAAAGATTGAGCAAAATGAAACAGTCAAGCTGAGAGCAATATCATATCAAATTTACTATGAATCCGAAGAAACTGACTGTGCAAGCAGCAGGCCAAAGAATAGCAGTGGACTTGAGATTCCAAGCCTCAGTGTATTGGCAATGTAATCGGGTAATGCCAATTATTTTATTGACTCCCGTATGATTCATTGGTAGTAAACTTAGGACCCATTTTTTTTTAGAGATCTTTGTTGTTCATATTACATTACAAAAATAATTACATTTCGAATGAAACCTGACACATAATAAATAAAATTGTTGATATACAGTAACTATCCATATGCATTTTTTTTAATATTTATTAATATAATAAAATAATATTACAACACAAAATACTTATAATAATTTTAAGTTGATAAAGTGTTAAAAGTTATAACGAACGTTTGTAAATATTGTTTGTTCATTGTTGTAATTAGAACACAAATTATTTGTAGGGTGTGTACCTTCGTTTCTTTTTCTTTTTTGGCACATGCGTGTCCCGTTCTTCTCTTTCGTGGCTAGGTGTTCTCACAAGTGGATATCGCTTTGCCTCCTCCCTTGCTCGACGTTCCGGGTCTAAGCTGGTCCCCTCCACGAACCTCGGCGATATACCAAACGCATCTCGGAGCCTTGCGTTCTTCTCTTGTTGCGCTTCAGCGACTGCGTGCGTTTCGCGTACGCTGCCGATGCAAACGTAAAATTTAAGATGGCTGACAAATTGACCTTATTGATTATGGTGAAGATATCTTTTAAATTTTAAAATTACAATTAAAACATTTTATTCGTTATCAGTAATTTCAATTGGGCATAATCCTTTCATCCTATAATATACACATTATATCTCATCTAGCATTTTTTCATTTGTCCTACAAAACGCAATGATAACATTAAGTGTAGCATTCACCATTAGATTTTATTTAATTAACGTTTTAGAACTCATAATTACCTGATTAGCACCTAAGTGCGCTAAAAATACGAAACAGTAGTTTAGAAACAAAAATTACAATAACTAATAAACTCGAAGACAGGATCAAGGTAAATTAAATATCGCAACAATTTATGTCATTAACAATGACTGTTAGCTGAAATTAAGCGTTAAATCGTTTAGATTTTGCAGATTAGGCGTACGTGTTCGATTTTATTACAAATTAGCAAGTTTCCCGTAACAATAGCAAGCGACCTATATTAGTGCTTTGACGATTGATAAAACCTTTGCCCACCTTATGACAGACCGCATGGATTTCCTCTCCTCCTCGTTGGCGAGACAGACCTGCAAATTGTTGTTAACATTGTTGCGTTCTGTCGCGCAACTGCATCGGCAACAACATGAGTTCCTTAGTCCAGCGAGGAGGGTTCTGAGTGCCGGTTCTAAGGAATCCGTCACATGAGACGGGCCTTGTTGTGGCATGTTCGAGGGCATGATAGCGGCCTCCGAGTTAGGATCGTGGGAGGACGCGCGCGGTCTCCTTTGGGGGCCCGCTAGCACGGCTTGAAACGTGCCCCGCCACAATCGTTCGAAGACGACTCTGTTGTTTTGTTCGCGACGCGTCGCCCTGCCCCTCTGCATCTTAAACTACTTAAACCTAATGGAAGACTTGGTTTCTTAAGGCTAAATAAAACTAAGGCGGTTTTGGAAGACTGTGTTACAAGAGGGTTAGGCGTGTGGCTACATTTCGGGGCGGCCGGCGGCGGGCCGGCGGCGCTACTGAGGGCGGTGGAATAACAGGAAACACGGCGACGCGCGCAGCCTGCGCAAATGACGCATCTCCGTTCTACGACGCCCTCCCTTTTCATAATAATCAACCTTTGTGTTGTAACGAGGGCAATTTCGTAATACTGATTAACTCACGACATTTTCATTTCGAAAACGTTAATACGTTATTGTCGTCGACAGCTAAGTTTTCAATGACATTTAATTTCAATATGGCTTAATTAATTACGCGCATGTGCATTGATACGAAATTATACGCATCATTAGTTTCGCACGATGTGAAGTGAATTGATCCCATCGTGCAACTACGACTAACACGAGGAGAGAAAATGATTCAACTTTTTACGCATTTTAACATAGGCGTAAAATTAATCATCAAATCATGATAATTTCTTTAAAAAAACACTCGTATCGCTATTAAGATTATTACCAATCATGTTAACCTTTAAATGCACTCCACTCCCACTAATCAGAAAATACTTGAGCTATAAACTACAACTGTAGTCGAATGGTGGCTTCGACAAGTGGTAAAATTAAAAATTTTGTACAACCGACTTTAATATAAATTATTAAGGATAACTCAAAAACGACTGGTCAGACCAGCGCCAGCTTTGAAATAAAGATTATCAAAATCGGTTAACCTAAAAAAAATTATGGTGTAACACAAAAAAATACTTTTTTGAAATCGGTTAAAAAACACAATTTTTTTACAATCGTTATCGTTTACCATTAGCCTACTGTGGCTGCAATAATTTTCAGAAAATGACTTCGTCGTGTTCGTAACCAAACATCTAATTGAATAAATGCAATTTATATTTGTATTCGCAATAAAGTAATCATATTCACGACGCTTCCGTATCTAGACCTTTTCTACGTCGAATATGTTATTTTATAATGCTGCTTGCTAATAATACATCATTGATAACACATTATAGGGGTATAAATGACTCCAGGCAGTGTAAAAAGAGTGATAATATTTTTACTATTATGCATATTCCTTCGTCACGACTTGCGCATAATGTTAAGGAATGCACGCTACGACTTAACTGCACACGTCTAAATAACAAGCTAGAGACACATAAGTATCATAATTAAATTATGACGATCCAGATTATTTCTATGCCACTACAGAATACTTACGGATTATATACCTACTCTTGGAAAGTGACACATTGTTAATAAAGTCAGCAATTGTCATTAAAATTATTTTTATTTAATAGCAGGGGTATATCTTTACTTTATTTATAACTGGCTAGATAACCATAAATATCATAATTAAATTATGATGATCCAAATACGTCTATAAAAAAAGTAAAAAGTAAAGTTGCAGCCTATTTACGTCCCATGGCTGGGCACAGGCCTCCTCTCATTTCTGAGAGGGTTTGAGAGGGCCTGAGAGCCGTGGTAGCTCAGATGGTTAGCGCTCGCTGTAAGCTTCACAGTACTCGCGCAAACCTGGGTTCGATCCCCGCCGGCACCAATGAAATTGTTAATTGCAATTTTAAGTGCTGATTTACCAGGAAAACATCGTGAGGAAACCTGCATGTCTGAGAAATAAAAAAAAAATTTCGAAGACATGTCAAGTTCGCCAACACGTATTGGGGCAGCGCGGCGGAACTTTCCTTGCCCTAAAACCGTCTCAGAAATACGTCTATGCCACAACAAAATTATTATAGAATACATCTATGTAACTATTGGCACGTGACAAACGTAAAGCCAGCAATTGTATAAAAAAGATTCACTATAATAAATGGGGTTGTTCTTTTGTCGTAAGAGGCGACAGAGGGAAACAAACCAGGTAGTGGGCTAGCATCATCTTTGTAATAACTAGAAAATAAAATCTGCGATTGTCAACCCGTTTGCTAAGCGTAGCAACTATGACAGAATATTCCCCTTATGAGGCAACCTATGGGGAGGCTTAAATTCAGCTGTGCTCCTATGTATGTATGAATGAAAATTTGGTTTAACAGAGCATTTTCTTATAATATGACAGAAAAAAAAACAATTTTTAGCACCTTATTGCACCATCAGATGAACACCAAGAACAGACAGATGAAGCGCTGCGTACATTTCAAGTTTTCAAGTGACACTAAAACCAAGCCATGCTCAATGCTTTACGTGGTAGAGCCATGCTGCAGCTATGTAATGGTTGTAGCACGAATGGGTCGGCTCGACCGGGGAAGGACCACGCTCTCACAGAATACCAGCGTAAAATAGCAGTTTAACGTTGCTGTGTTCCGTATGTTGAGTGTAAAGAACCGGAGATCCTTTTTACTGGAAACGAGGCATTCCATCTTAGTCATCACGGGTGACAACGCATCTGCATTTTGACTCGTAATCGAAGATAGATATAGATGTCTATGGGCCACAGCAACCACACCATCAGGTGGACTGTGTGCTAGTGTGTCACCCTTATCCTATAAAAAAAAAACTTACTGCGCACAAATATTATATATCTAAGTAACAATATGATTTTATTATATTTTTTGGCACCCAACTAATAATATGATTTTAAGTGCTGATAAAGAAAAAAGATATGTAAACGAGTGAGTATCAAAGGTTAAAAACGTTTTCGGCGTCACTTTTGCAACCTATTTTATTTATATGGTCAATAAATCTTTGCGTGACTGCGGTGACGAAGTAATGCGTGTATTCAGTAGCCGGAATTTTATTACGTTGTAAATTAATTAGAACAACACGATCCGTTATATATCAAACCCTCCTTTAACTAACAAACACAACTTACTATGGTCTTTTGCTATTTTTCATGCGGATTCTAGTTAACAAATATTGTTATTAATATTTGTAATTAATTTACTATTAATAGAAGTAGAGTATTTTCACACAGTACGGAGATTTATGACTAAATATCGAAGTTTTGTGTTTGCACAAACATATAAGATTGAATTTTAAGCCCAGTATGCTGCCGGCTCAGCTACAAGATCATTTTAAAATAATATCGCTGACAATATTTTGCAGATAATGCTTTGCTGCCAAATCCATTAATTTTGCAGTTGTAAAATGGACTGTCTTTGAAGTACAGATTATTGAATGTAGCAACTGTTACATGAGAATTTGCGGCGTCCACCTTGTTTCTTGTTTCTTAAACGTTCGTATTTAAGTAGGTATTTGTGGCAAAGGCATAGCGATTGAAATACCAAAATGTGGTTGGACTGGAACTGTGTGATTGCTATTAGGCCAGTTATAAAATTCTAGGTGATAACCTTCTATTCTTTCTTTGTTTTTTCTTTAAAAACGTTACTACTACATTAGGATTTTCTCCCGTATCGCCATTTACATACATAAATATCACAAACATAAACATTCAGACACGGAACAATTATTTGTAGGCCATACAAATAATCGTCCGGGATTCGAAACCGCGGCCCTCATCGCTTCAAGTCATAGCTAAACCACAGCGCCACGGAGCCGTCAAACACGAAATCCACTTACGATCAGACGGACTGTGTGCTTATTTATATAAGAATCACCAGCATAATTATACTCAAAATATACATAACTAAAAAAAAAACTGGGGTTGGCAAAACGCCTACCAAACGTGGCAACTATGGCAAAATCCGTCCTATGAGGCAATCTGGGAGGACTATGTTCAACAGTGGACTTTTATAGGCTGTAATGAATGATGAATGACAAACATAATTACAGGTTTTAAGGTGCTATTTGGTGCCGAAGTAAGATAATATTATATATTCTATATTATAGATAATATAGTCATTACGTCACGTAAGTGTCGTAGGAGATAATAATGCGAACAGCCAAAAAGATCTTATGACCTCCGATATATGTTAATGAAATCGTCTCGTTTATGGAACATAAAGGGTCCGCCATCTAACTTTTTTTTTTCAACTAGTGCTTATTTCGTGAATGGCAACACTTAGCTCATGTCTAATTTGACAGATAATTAGTTTTATCCTTCCGCTGAACGAATATGGTTGTGTATACGCTTGA